AAAAGACAAAAAAAAAAAAAAAGTTTCTATCTAGATTTCAAAAGAAGGCCTAGGAACCCACACAGTGTGTCCCTGAAGGACAGTGTACCCAGATGTGAGGGTGAAGCCAAAGGTACAATGGAGATCCCAGAAGTTTGGAAAAACCAGGAATGCAGATCATCTAAAGAAAGCTACAAGAACTGAGCAGAGCAGTCCTAAGAGAGAAACCTTGGGAGCTACATCCACTGGAAGTGCATAGCGGCAGAGTTATGCAGCCTTTTGGAGCTTACAACTTGCCACAGATTTTTTCTGATGTTCCACATGGAATTATAGAACTTAATGAGGTGAGTGCTTTAAAAGAAAATAAAGTATCAGAGAAGCTGTCCTCCTAGCCTAAAAAAAAAACAAATACCCATATTGTGACCTGTATATAGAGACTTGAATCTGAGGCTGACTACAAACAACCAAGGGCAACATAACCAATAAAAAACAAAGAACTCAATCCTACAACTACAGTAAGTTCCAATTAGGAGTGAGTTCCATTCAAGGAGTGTCTTAGTTACTTTTTATTTGTCACTGAGACAAACACCTGAGGCCTAAAGTTGGGAAAGGAAAGGTTTATTTCTTACAGTTTTTGAAGGTTTCAGTCTATACTCAGTTGGCTCCAAGGCAGGGCGGCATGGTGGGGCCTCAGTTGATAGCGGCTGCAAACAGCAAGGCAGAAACCCGCAAGAGAGAGACACACACCTTCTTCCTGCCTTTACATTGTATGCTGGCTCCACCCGTACATGGGTGTAGCACTGACACATCAATCCAAGCTAGACAATGAACTAATCACAAATGCAGAATGCAAATGTACGAGGCCGGCGGGCCACCAACATAAAACATGACAAGGAGAATATTCATAAATCAGATTCATTCTTAATTTGGCAAAGTGAGTCTTATACAGTATACCTGTGGAAGCTCACAACTGGAATGTTCATAAACTGGGGACTCAATACATAGGGAACTGAATTCTGCCAGCAACCTGAATGAGCTAGGAAGAAGACCCAGTGTTGCAGAGTACAAAATGGCCTAACTACATTTTACCTGCAGCATTCTAGGACCTAGAACAGAGAATATAGCTATACTTCTGACATAAAGAAAATATGACATAAGAAACTGGTGTAATCTTAAGCCACTAAATTTGAGGCAACTTTATAAATATCAATTTTATCATCCATGTATTTATATTGTTTCTTAATGCTGAGTAGATTATTCATCTTAAGAGATGAGTCATAGAAAGATAAATTGTAGTTTTATTAGCTATACAGTATTTTCCAAGAAATAAGATTATTTTGACACAGTATCTTATACATAGTCCACAGATAATCCTATCTCAAAGAAACGGAGACAACAGTAATCACTGTGGTACTTAACCTCGTGTAGTGTTTTGTCAATCATATCTTGTTACAGAAATTGTTGGGAAGAGTTTGTAATCTCAAGATCTCTGAAGCCAAGGATTCTGGGGAAGCTGGTGTTAATGCAAGTGTTTTTCCATTTCTATCTTGGGTATGAACTATACTTAAAAATGGATTCTTATCTCTACTTGTTAACGATTTTACTAATTTGTATCCAGAAAACATACACTACTGATTTGGTTTTTAAAGACAGGTATAAAGTCATTCATATTGGTTATATCTCATAAAATGGCCAATAACTGAAAGGTCCACAAGAAATTTAGCTACAGTTAATACTTCTAAACAAAAGATTGCTTAGAATAAACAATCAAGTGCTATCAAATTTCTTTAAGATCATATAAACAGAAGCAATATTCCCTAAGCCATGAAACATTCCAAACACCAAAAGGTTGATTTGATTCATAAAAATGTACTAACATCAAGAAATTGATATGAGACCTTGGAAGTAAGATATGAGAGAAATGAAGATTACTATTAACTGTCTAATAGTTTCTCATTTTAAAACTGCAATACTATTAACTAATCAAGGAAAAAAAATACTACATAAATTTTTCAAAATCACAACTAATTACTTAAACCTTCTTTATTAGAACTGTGTTTCCTAAACATCCTTAGGAAATTAAAGTAGTCCACCAGAGATTTAAACAATGCTTCACTGTTGTCTGAATCAATTAATAATGTGCTGGCAGCTCCAAGTTCCAGGGGAAGGGGAAGAGGAAAGGAAGGAAGGAAAAGTGAAGGGAAAGGGAGAAAGAAGAAAAAAGAAAAGACAGACTCTTATGGGTTGGCAGGGAAACCACAGATCCTAGTCCAGGGAACCAGGCTAACAGCCATCCAGGATCTTAAACACCCCCAGACACTGTGAGTAAAGAAAAGAATATGGCAAGGCAGTCAAAGAAACCTCATCAAAATGTCTGAGAGTAATTAAGTTTGTGCTTACTAGTCATTTGAGTTCCAGGCATTGCACTAGACAATTTGATGAGGGTTAAGTGATTTTTCTAGCGTCATATAAGAAAGAAAAGGCTGAGTTGTAACTGGATCAACTCAATAGCTCCATGGTGGCAACTATTAGTGCCATAATTATTACTTCTGTAAAAGTTCTTAGTTCCAGACTCTACAATATGGCTTCTCCAGGATAAAGCACAACTGCTCATGCCAATTTACCTATTCTGATACATATATGAGTAATGAAATTGCAATTACTATACTCACTGGTTCAATGATGTCAAATCAGGTCCTACAGCCAGAACAACCCTAGAAAATTACCATCTTGGTGACCAAGCATTTCTCATGTGCAATATATTTTTCTTCCAATACTGAAAGAGATCTGTTAGTGAACTGAGTACCAGATGTAAAAGTGGGCTGTATTTCAGGAACACAGACATTACTGAGTAAACTATCAAAACTTGAACTGTTTAAGTTGTTAATTTGCTCATCTTTTCTTTAAGTAAATATATGTATTCTGTAACATCACCATGTATCTGTATTATTTGGGTCTCTTGTTTAACAGACAAAGGTAATTTTGGAAGACGCCCCTGTTTAATATTTAACACTGTTCTACCTAATCCTTTATTCTCAAAATATCTTTTACTCTGGGCAGACAGTATACACCCCTCTTGCCAGCTGCTTGGGAGGCTGAGAGAAAATAATTGCAACTTTCAGGGATGCCACACAACTTTGTAGGACTGTGATTCAAAATTCTGAAAAAGGGCTGGTGCCGGTGTGGTGGTACACACCTGTAATCCCAGTAGCACTCAGGAGGCTGAGACAGGAAGATTACTGTGAGTTAGAGGACAGCCTGGGCTACAAAGTGAGTTCTACGCCAGCCTGAATTGCACAATGAAACCCTGTCTCAGCAGACCAAAAAAAAGGATTTTTTTAATTAAAAGGACTGGAAAATTAGTTCAACAGTAAAGCAAGTATTTAGTATCCACAAGGGCCCTAGCTTGAACCCCAGTACCACCAAAAAAAAAAAAAAAATTAGTGGAAATAGATATTTCCATTTCATTTAGATTTAATTATATCACGTTATGCTGTTATCAAATGTTTTCACATATTAATGTTGTCTTACAATCGGAGATGCTACCATGCTATGCACCTGTATACTTTTTTACATGCTTTTACTTCAACTGAAAGAACAGTTACAGTGATCTTCCCAGGACATAAAAAATAAAATTCAAATTTTCATGGAATTTCTGGTGATTTTTATCACTTCCTGCTTTAGTAACACACACACAAAAAAAATCTGTCTATTCCTTGATTTCCTTTCTCAAGAACTACAAAATCTAATTCCAGGTAAACAGTGTTTAGCGAAAATATCTTCAATTTATATAGTATTTGTAAACACAATATTAATACTAGTGCTTCTTATAAGTCCTTTATAAACTACAAGCTACAAGCATTTTTATGGCCTACTTAAAGGGAAAAACAAAAACTAAAAGAACACTGAATAGACAGTAAAGAGAAAAAAGAACCAGAATTACTTTGCATGTGCATCTACTTATCTGCCCAGCAACTAGGAAAATTTGGATAATGACCTGACCCTGACTCAAGACTATGAGCCACAGGTACTTGTGAAATTTCACCAGGAAAATCCATCTTAACTCATAAAACAGAGTCCACAGTTTGAAACCTGTCACATGCCTAAAAATAACTGTTTTCTGAAGCTATTGTATCAACTATCCAGGGGAATAATGCATGAATTAACAAGCAACTCTATCACTTCAGATATCACCATTTCTAATATTAATGGTGAACTAGGACTGAAATCAGGTGATCGAAACTTCACAGAAGAAACTGCCTAAGAATATGAGGCTATTCTCAGAATTACAAGTTCAGTGTAACCTAAAAATAAGCATATGGTCTTGAAAGATATAATCAGTAAACAAATCATTGGCAGTGGGCTCCGTAGCCTCCCGAAACGCGTAAGGAGGAGAGCAGAGTAAGCCAATAAAAGGCAAACAGCTCCCAAAGGTTTGCAGATGCTCTGAAGGCTATTTGCACACCCACCACACCCCTTTTCGTGACAGCCCAGCCCCAGGCTCCGCCCATAGCCAAGGCTCTAGGCGCGCAGGGGCAGACGCGCGCGGGGGCCCGGCTCGGAGCGAACCGGGTGCCCGGGTCTGTCAGGACCACGCCGACCCGCAAGGCTGGGAGACCCAAGCCCGCGCCGCCTCGCCCACGCCCAGCCGCTGCCTAGCAACGCGGCCTGGCTGCCTAGCAACGCGGCCCGCCCGGGCCTTCCAAAACCACTGTATTAAGCCAACCGCCGGCCGCCTTCATTCTACCTCTTTTTTCTTCTGTCCTCCCCCGAGCTGGATGCAGAGGAGCAGCAGCAGCAGGAGAAAGGGGAAGCTTCCGGCGGGCAGGTACCGCAGGCGCCGCCCCGCGGGTCTCCGGCGTGAAGGAGCGCCCCTGGTCCCCATCGCCGCGGGGCCGCGCCTCCTCCACGCGCGGTAGCCGTGCGAGCCCAGCTCCCACGCGTCCCACACCTGCACAGCCACCCGCGGGGAGCGTCCTGGCGGGGCCCTAGGGGCGGCAGCGGCGTCGCGAGGGAGGCGGCGGGCGCGGAGGCGGCAACTGACAGCGCATCCGGTTTACCAGGCGCGGACCTGGAGCGGCGGCGGGCGCGCAGGAAGTGGGCGTGGCCGGGCGCGCGGGCTCCCGCGGCGGCGTCGGAGCGCCGGCCGACCGAGGCAGGTCCGAGTGCTGCAAGCTGTCTCTGTTCAGGTGGTGTGTGGGCACTCTTCAGTGCAACACAATTAATTACCTGAGCCTTCGACCTGATTGTTTTAGATGATGAGGGGGGACAGAAGAGCGAGAACCTGGCCCCTCCAGCCACCTTCAGGCTCTACTGGCTGTGAGATTTGTTCGGGAGCACAGCCCTGGCTCCCTCAGCGTTCTGAAGCTCTGGGACCCATGCTGGAGCCCCAGGAGAGAGGAAGCTGCCCCACAACTGAGCTGCTGTCTCTTCACCAGCTAAAGTGACCTTTCACTCCCTTTCAAGGAACTCCAATATAAAGAGCACTATTCTAGCTGCTTTGAATGCAAGAATGAATAGATCCAATTCAACTCCTATTGTTCAAGTATTTTAAGAATAGTGGCAGATTGTTTATTGAACACTACATAGGCCAGGTGCTATATTATTATAGACATCTAAGTTAGAAATTAATATGCAATCCGAGAGGGATTGGGCCCATGAGGAAGTCAATACAAAAAAAAAAGAGAGACATCAAAATTACGGCTGGAGGCAAAAAAATCTAAAGAAAGCCAGGCCTGCATACCTCCCTAGAGATAAACAGCAGTTTAATATCATACCCCAGTCACTACCACCTGGTCAAGTGGGCCGAGTTAGGTGGGTGACCAGAAAACCTGGACCCATATACCTCTCCCTTTCCAATTGTTTCACTGATCTTTCCATATACCCATGATATGTGCTATGACTACACTGACAGTCCTAAAGGTTGATTGTATTTTCACCCATGTTTACCCACATTGTAATTTCACCATGTAAATTACCGTTGATAGAGGACTTCAGTGGCCACCCAATAGGGACCCCTCTTGGAAATCCAGGAGTTGTACTTCTGCTTATTCCCAATAAAGCTCATCTTTTTCCTTTGGTTCACAATTTTATTTCTTGATGTTGCAAGACCACAAACTCAGCACATTTGATATCTAACAGGTCAGGAGTTATATTTTTCTTGTATTATAAGGTCATGAGTGTTCATTGTATTTCTCTCCTAAATTTCTTCACTTGTACCATCAACATCTTTGATAATCTGATGAAAACTACAGACCTAGTCTTGAAGTAATATTTTGAATGTATGAAGCTATAGGCTTAAACAGATAGACAAAATAGGTCCAAAGTAGCATGCTTTGCCAGATATATTGTGATTAAATGGAGAAACAAAGACTTAAATGAACATTATCTTTATAAACATTTATTAGGTTTCAAACCTAAAACATAGGGCCTCTATTTCTAGAAAAAGTATATTCCTGGTTACCATGTCCTACATTGATATCAAAAATGAGACCGTTCCTTACACGCCTACACACTTTAGGCTAAGCCCTGATTTGAAACTTTCTTGAGTTGCTTTAGTGCCCCAGAGAGAACGCTGACCAAAAAGAATATTGGGAGACTGAGGCAGAGGATTGCTGTGAATTTAGTTAGTTAGTTACTATGTGGACCCTTTGATCATATTAGTATCACTCCTATTAAAAGAAAATCTTTAGATGAATTAAATTTAACAGATTTTGAGTAGAGAACTATTCATAATTCTGGCGTCACTCAGAACAGAAGAGTTTCAGAGAGCTCAGCTCCCCTAGTGTGAGCAGCCAGCTCCTATAAGCTTAACATAAACACACAGTAAGAAAATGACTTGAGGGGCTGAGGATTTAGTTCAGCGGCATAAGCGCCTGCCTTGCAAGCAGGCAGTCCTGAGTTCGATCCCTGGTACCGATAAAAAGGAAAAAGACAAAAAAAAAAAAAAAAAAAATGACTTGACTGCTAAGTAACTAACATTTGCCTTTCATGGTGTGATGAGTTTGGAATGTTTATGATGGGCTGAGGCCTGATTGTTGTTTAACCTCATTCCTTAACCACAAAAAATGTTTCAAAGTTAGGTTCTAGTGTGCATATGTTAGAATCAGTGATATGGAAACAGCTGTGGTCTAATGTTCTGCTTATTTTACTTTATTGCTCCCAAAGAAAAGCCTCTTGGTTTTTCCTTGACCTTTGTGAAAAGACTTTACTTTTGTCTGTTTGGAGACAATATCAACCTGACATTTATATTATTATATTCAGCATGATTTAAAATTCACTATCTTATTTCTCTCCCAAACTAATATAAATTTCCCTGTTGTAAATTATATTTGTGCTACCACTTGAAATGCCAGTATTCAGAGCCAAAGAGCTGGTGCCCACCTTCTTCATGCTCTCGAAGCATACTGCCTTCCCATGCTTATTTCCAACATACCCAACCTCAACAGTGTCCTAGGAAGTTGTTTTTCCTTTCACATCTTGTAACTCTAGCATTCATCAGAAAAACATTAGTGAAAGATTTCTGCCAGAAGGTAAATTACTAAACATTGTGATGGTGATCTAACATGGCCAAAACAAAGAATAACAGCTTCCTTTCTGATGAACATTTTCTTCTTCTTTTCCCCTTAGGCATGAATGTAGCTTCCTCTTTCTTTTTCCTTCATGCCTGAAGAAAACTCCAATCAGTCCCTACATGCCATCAACACCCACTCCCAAACCCTGCTTCTGGCCAGAGTTCTATTTAGGGGAAACCAGTGAGCTAAACATTCTCTGGAGCTGTACTTTCCTCTCTTGCTTCATTTATAACGTACTTTTTTCTTTTTTGGCCTCTTTACTGTGCAAAAAAAAAAAGCCCTTAACAATTACACATCACAATTAGTTGATCCTTCTTTTATAATCTGATCACCCTCTTCCAGCACATCCAAGATTCCTTAATCCTGTCTTCCTGCATTCTGTTCTACTGCAAGCAGCAGCAGTAATCCTTTAAATTATGCAAATCAGTTCAAAGTATTTCCTCAGTTCTCAGTAGAAAAAGCTAAATCTTCCATGCTCTTGGGACCATACAGTTCATGGCACGCGTAACTTTCCAACTTCATTTCCTATTTTTTCCTGATTTCTCACTGTGCTTCAGCCGGGCTGGCAAAATTGTTTTCCCTAACTATGTCATGCATATGCTGTCTGTAGTCTTTGTACCCTTTGTTGTAACTCTTGTTACCTAGGTAGATGTTCATATGGTATATACTTCGTTCCTTTATGTGAGTTTCCTAATCTGCCATGTCCTAATCTCTAACACAGCACAGTCTCAATTATCAACTCCTTACTTTTATAAACACTGTAACTTTTCATAGTATTGGTACTATCTCTGCTTGACATTGAGCTATTAGTTTTCATTTGTTCCGAGTATGCCATTAGTATGTAACTACATGGGACAGTGACTTGTAATCACACTGTCTAAAATAGTGCCTGCTTTATATATTTGCCAGTGTTAAATTCCCCCACCCTCAGTAGTCACTAGAACTCAAAATTGTTTCTGGTAAATTCCATCCATTGGAGTAAGTCCATTATATTCAGAAGACAGATGAAACAAGTGTTTGGCCTGAAAAAGTTGGAGTTTTAGATTGAGAAAACCCCATTGGAGTTCTTGCTATCTTTAAGGTCACTTAACATCAATCAAGAACCAGACAAAAAGCCAGGTGGTTTAGTTCAGCAGCACAAGCACTTCTCTGGCAAGCACGAGGTCATGAGTTCAATTCCCAGCACAGAAAAGAAGGAAAGAAAGAAGAAAGAAAGAAAGAAAGAAAGAAAGAAAGAAAGAAAGAAAGAAAGAGAAAAAGAAAAGAAAGAAAATGATAGAACTGTGAGGACTGGCAGTGGCTGAAAAGATAAGAAGTATGAAATATAAATGACCTTTATTTTGAGAATGTGGGGAGAGACCCCCTGACACCCTGGGGCGCGGCATCTCCCCCCAGGGTAGGCGATCTCTCCGTGGAACACGTGGAGGGGGGGGCATACATGTAGCTTAGGTTGGGGGTGGTGCCTGGGGGGCATTAGGGATGCACAGGTATCTCATTGACACTAGTTTGGCACCAGGGACAAATTTCTAGGGGTGGGGAAGATAGGGCCACGGGTAAATTCCTAGGGGTGTGTGAGATGGAGCCCCTTGGTTCCGCCTGAGGCTTTACTGGCTACAGTATCCTGTCTGGGCCAAAACTCATTCATATCCCGTCTTGTGATTATTATTATGAGAAGGGACAAAGATTTCTTTTTTTATTGTTTCCTGCTGGAAGGGAGCACTGTACTGGAGTCTAGGGGAGTCAACGGGATGATGGTTGATGCCCAGGTAGAAGCTGGTGCCAGGTGTTTTAGCCAGGACAACTTCACTGATGAATGCACTTATGTTAGACTGGAAAAACAAAGAGACAAGATGTTATGAGGAGGCATGGCACTGTCATATTTAAGGACCCAGGTGAGGTAGAAGGAAAGGTGCCTTTGATTTAGACATGTCATTATATCAGGACCACGTTCAGGTAGGATCATTGTCACAGTGAGGTAGAATTTTGAAACATAAGAGTGAGGTTAGGAGGAGTGAAGTTATGAGAGGTGATTACTCCCCCATCTGAAAGGTTAAAAGTTAAGAGAGTAGACAGGTAAGGCTTGTCTCTGGTATGCATGATGTTGGAGTCTGTAGGAAATAGTTAAGAGTTCTGCTGTAAAAAGAATAAGAAATTAGAAACCAAATTGTATAGCAAAACATGACAGCCTGAGAGTCGTGGCTGTGAGGCCTTGGTAAGGCAGAGATGAGTAGGCAAAAGGATGGTTAGATCTAGGGCTGGAAGGGCACCACTTAGCCTGAGTGATGTGAAACCAGGATGGCAGTCTAGCAACTTTGATCACTGTTGAGGTTGCCAAGAATATCAGGTATGGGTTGCTGTAACCTGGTTGTAGTCCTTGGAATGATTTGCTATAACAGGACTTTAGTAAGTATATCAGCAGTCTCCCTGGTTGTGTGAAAGGCTTTTATGTATCCTGAAAAAGTATAAACAAAGTGAGAAGACAAAATTTATCTGTCAGTCTTGACCAGGGTTGTCTGAGAAATTGGTGAATAAGAAAGGAAGGGGTGTTCTAGTGATAACAGGTGTAAGCTGCTGAGACCTCAGTGTCTGGATCAGCCTGTATAAACACAAGGGAATAAAAAGCATTTTTAAGATTTAGGACTGTAGAGTGAGTGGTGGAGGGAAGATTTGGCACCACTGGAACCTGCACAAAATAGGCCCTGTTTGTAAGTGACATACGTTGACCTCAATACCTCCTAGAGTTTGAGGATTTAATATAGCAGCCTGTCCACAAGTATAGAGAATGTCTTACCTGGGACTTGGACTCTGAGATGTTGTTGGCCCTGAGCCCCGTCAGTCTTCAACAGCACGTTTAAGCAGATCTGTCCGCTATGAATCTGGCAGTGTTGGCATTTCCTATGAGGGCTGGAAATTAGAATGGCTTACCCACTCTGGTGGATGGGACAGTCCAGTAGCCCTGGGGTAAGGTCCCAAAGGAATGCCAGGATGGGGCACTCTCTTGCCCAATGTCTTCTGCTGCACTTGAGGCATGGTCCATGGGGGGAGGGGGGGGATGACCCAGGCAGCTCCACCTTGTGTTGGTTTTCCTGTCTCAGAACTACAAGTGTCACAAGTGTTATTGTTATCTCGGTTGTTGAAAACATGAAAAGCCATATTAAGGTCTCTGTGGAGTTTGAAGGAAAAGTTTTGCCTTTTTGTTTGAGATTTGGTCTACAGTAGAAGATATCTGTAGAATTAAGCATGCAGGAGTCAAATATAATTAACAGGGTATTTATGTCATATATAAATATCTCTTTATGTTATTAAAATGTCTAATGCCATCTGATTTTTGGAGGATGGGCTGTTTAATTAATTTTTACCTTTTTATTTAGGAGAGAAATCAGCTACAGTGTTATTTAATATCAATTGAATATAGTTAATTATGGCTCAGTGGAGGGCTGAGCCAGGGCAGGCAGACAGGCTGGGAAAGGTTTAAGTTTGGCTTCTGCCGCAGTGTTGGTCTTGTTGTTTTGC